GTGTGGGTAAGCAAAAACACGGGCAGCCCATGGATGGCACGCTTCTAATCATAATTGTTGCCTGCCAACCTGCAATGCACATGTGTCTGCAATGCATAGAGATTAGGTGGGTGCGAAAGTGTAGCTGATATATTATCTATTATATATTATCTGCAGGAGTAAGATAATATAGGATTCCTATAGATATAGATAGGATAATATAGATTCCTATATTATCTTACTCCTGGTGGTAGTAGTAGTCTTTCAAATATAGGCGAAGCTGTCTCCCAGTACTGTGTAAATGTATCATGCGAAAAGTGGACTTGACTTGATTACTGCCTAGTCTGTAAATTCAATCTCAATGATTCGCTAGTCATACGTGCATGGATATGTATGATAATGTAAGCCAGTATAGCAGGGTTATTATTAGCTGCAGGGAAGAGCAGCCCGGTCAGACCAGGTTAGAGTATGTTACAGTGTTTGCATTCATACAAAATATAGAATTATTGCTATAAATTTCCCATTTGTAAATGTCTGCTTATTCCTTTCTCTTGCAGGAAACAATGGATGATCAACAATCAGATATCAACTACAAACAGAAATACAAGGTTCTCAAGCAAAAGCTGAAATTTCTGGTGTATGTAAGTTAAATCTACATTCAAAGACAGACAGTTTAAATGTCATATTAATCATCCATAGATGCATATTATTTTTTCTGTCTACATTATGGTACATGTATTATGTATGTCATACCTAATCAGTAATAAGAATATCGTTATGTCACGTTTTCTTAGCGATGGCAATCAATTTGACCTGATTAGTACTGCTGAAGGGGTCGTTGTCGTATCAGGTACTACAGATATGTATCCGAGTTACATATATGTATACACAAAGTGTACCAGACTTGTACTACAGAAGTGTACCCTAACCCTAAACATACCTCATATAAAAATATAAACATAATTATTAATACTAAACAACCTAAAACTACCTCAGGTACATATCTGTAGTACCTGATATGACAACGACCCCATCTGCATTAGTAATACTTAGCCATCTTGAAATTTTGTGAATTGATTTCTTTCATTGCTATCAAATTTAATAATATTATTATTACTCAGCAATAATAGGCGTGACAGGTTCGTTACTATGATGGTCTCATGTCAAATTGTAGATAGAAATATAGCAGGTCTTTGGTTGGTCTAATGTTGGTGTAGTCAAACAACTTACGTTAGTTTATTACATTATTATATCATTATTTTATCTTTTGTTTATTTAATCTAGGAAAATGAATCCTTTCAAGAAGAAATGAGAAAGTCCCAGCGACGACTATTACGAATATCACGAGATAAGAGGTATATTAACATATCAGGAATTAAACGGAATGTATCAAAATAATATAGTAATGTAGTCAATAAACCTAATTCAACATTTCACCACTTGATGTGCAAATATCTTTTAGGTTCTATTTGGGTTTGTTTTTTTAAATCGTTAACATTTCTCATTAATTGGTATTATAATTAATACGGTGTGGTTTCAGCTTCCTGCTGGACCGGTTGCTCCAGTACGAGAAAGTAGGAGATTCCAGTAGTGAGTCTGATGATACTGCATCAAGTTCAAGCGAGCCCGAGAAAGGCACAAAGGTTGCAAAAAGGTAAACGACCCCATACTGGTACAAGCCACTCACTTAGCAGCAGAATCTTTCTGTAGTGATAATATTGTGCTGGAGTTACATGTTGTGATCCACTAGAGTAGGGTTCCGGCAATGTTAGAATAATTTTTCCTGAGAGTATATTCTTTAATCTCACCTAAGCTGTATTACAACGCAATATTTGTCACTTGCTATATATGCATATAGGTGTCAGAATTCGATAAATCGTCTTTCATCTCAAGTAGTGGTGAACTTGTGGATTAACTCTATAGTAGAGGTGATCATGAATAGAATTTTCATATTTACAGGAAAAAGACATTGTCGATATCACATTCTTTGGCTCCTCCTCTCGGCACAACTGATCCAATGGCAGCACTGGCTGCTCTAGGTTATCCTGGCCTTTCGAAACCCGGGGTAAGGTAAAAACAATCTACATGTGACCGAAATATAGGTACTCACAAGGTGTTTAATCTCCATTAGATAAGTTGTCTTTCCGATTTTTATACATACATGTGATAGTAATATAAGTCATGCTTACACAGTGTTGGAATCTCCATTGGTTAAAGTTTTTTGTACAATTTATATACTCTACTTGTCATTTTTCTTCAGGGTAAACTTTCAAGTGGAAAGACGGGAGAACCACATAAGAAAAAACCTAAATCAAGCAGCAAGTCATCCACCCAACCTGGTAGGTTTATGATGGCTAATTTGCAAACCAGCCACGTTTTATCTATTTAAAAGTTATCAAATTTCCTCGTTACAAACTACCCACATATAGCGAGTTTGGTTGGAACTTGATCTTTACCCACAAGCCAGTATACCTGCCAAATACAATAAACGTTCATCTGTCGAAATTATGCGAACCAGAAACCCTCAGTTCTGCATACATAAAATAATATGTGTACCACGGTTTAGTGAAGCAGTGCACTGTGAATTCCTGCCATGGTAACTTCTGGTTTAGTTTCCCAGTTTTGAAACTCCTCCAGTGCATTAGTGCATTAGTGCTTGGACAGTTTCTGTTTTCTAAACATGACCATCACCCGAAACTGTTAAAATCTTAAAACTGTATGTAGTGTACTGCTCCCTTGGTACCAGTGTATTTCTCCCCACCATCGCTGCTAGTCTAGTTCCTTCTGCCCTCTTTCTATACACGCCATGTGTTGCCATTTTACTCTAATAAACTGCCACATTTTAATGTATACTGGCTTACTTTTTCACGATAGATGGCGCTGTAGGCTCATGACACGAAATAATGCATGGTGACACACCGTTTTACTAACTCTTGCTAACATGTTACTCTACAGGAAATCTTTATCTTATAGGTCAGTCGACTACTAAATCCCCTGTACAGCGGGCCAAGCCTCACAAGATGAGCACTGAGGATATCCATAGACACCTACAAGCCAAAAAGCTCATCGTTGACACAGAGACCATTCCAACAAGTGTTCCTCAAGAGATGTTCAGCACCACACCGTATGTTATTATTCACCCTGAATAAATAAATAAATAAATATATACATACATACATTATATAACCTATTTAATACATAAATACATGCATGCACGCACGCACAGATTTCCCGACTCAAGGAAGCATCATGCCCACCTTGGTCGATATAGTAGTAGTAGCAGTAGCAGTAGCAGCAGCAGCAGCAGCAGCAGCAGCAGCAGCAGCAGCATAATATATATATATGTAACAACTGGCGCGACGTTACACAATGGAGAAGATGGAGAATAGAGAAGGACGGAGGCTGGTAGAAAGGACGGGCGGGACGTGAGAAGGTCGGGAGAGAGAGAGATGAGAAGAGATGAGAGAGAAGATACCAAAAACGAAGTCTGCGGGTACGGGTACACGAAAGGTCTTTATTGCAACTCTATTCCAAATAGCAGCACATAACGGGCAGCGCGTGACGGATCGTGCCTCAAATTCTCTGCTCCAGCATGGGTATGCGAACCCTGTTATATCGTCGTGCACGTGTCTTCCGCCTCCTTTGTCTCGGCGGCACAGAGGGCGGCAAACACGTCGCCAATTATACCGATAGGTGATTGGGCCCGTAAAAGCCTTTTCGCTACAACTAATTCCGCTATGTTATTACTACTTCTAGCTTGGTTATGCAGCCAGCCTTTGGCGACACCGCGTCCGGTGTCGTACCGCTGGCCAAGGTACTCGAGCGCCTATTTCTACGTATAACTACTCCTACAGCTGTGTTCTAATCAGCTTACAATGGGGTAGAATTCCCGGCGCAACACTGCTCGCTACATATATGTATATATACATACATACACATATTTGTAATATCCATGGAGTATAATATGCGCCTGTAATAGAAACAGGCTGTGCGTGTAGGTGCACGAGCGTGCGAACAAGTTGTAATTCCGCTGTATCGTGACCCCATTGTTTTTCCTTCAGTGATGAGATAGCTGCTGAGCCGTCCCCTGCTCCACAACCAGAGGACAATGACCAGCTAATCATCGACATTCCTGAGTAGCCGCGCGAGATTCGCACCTCGTGCACGGTGGCTCCAGCTGCAGGGCCGATCGGGAGTCGACAGCGCCATCATCAACTGCGTCGTCGACAATACTATCGTGTCGGCGGCGGCCATCGGCTTACCACGATTGCCTGATCAACAAGTGTCGGCTATTGCCGCACTCAGCTGAGGCGATGAGACTAGGCGAAAACAGTCCCTATGTTCACACCTGCATGCAACTGTGAATTCGAGATCCGTGGATTGTCTCAGTGATCGCACCTTGCTTACGGCTGTACGGTCAACACCCGATATAAATCACTGTCATCAGCTGTCTCTTAACTGTTGAACTTAAGGGTTCACGCAAGGTTACCTGAACTTTGTGGAGCTAAAGCGAAGTGGTGCCAGTGGAGTAACCAGGTTCTGTGACGAAAATGTTCGGTTGGGAACGATGATAGAATGTCATGTCATGTGTGAAGCAGTCGATCAGTGCACCACATGCAAAACACAGTCACAATGCCAAGCACACATACATTTGCCCAAGTGGGTGGCCATTGTCTCTTGCTTATTAAAAAGGACTGACAGTATTATAAACAGCACCCTGTGTGCAGCCCTGACCGAAAATATCTTGTCTAAAGTTCATGAAGAGTAGCGGTGGCACATCACCAAGAATTCATGCATAAATTAAGATGCTTCTTGCATAGATTAAGCAAGTCCCTGGTACTATTTCATTCAAAAGTTTTTCGTCAATTGAAAATTTCACATGACCGATGTGGTGACTATATTTTGATACATAAACAACATATCCATTGCCTGAAATTATATATTTTTAGACAGGCTAGTGCAAAAAGCTAGGTATATAAATTATTTGCATTTGTTATTGTTAACAAAACTAAAAGCACAGTGCGGCATGTAAGAACGATATAACTACCATTTATTAAAAAGTGACAGTGATAACGTGATGGATCCAGGATTTTATAAAAAGGCGGATGGCTGTTACTCATGGATTGTGTGTGAAATATCATCAGGTGTGTTGCGTACGTGCATATTATATACGTGCATGCACCGTAGCCTTGTGCGCATGCTTGATACGACACTGCACTGGTGACAGCTGTTGCTGTATGACGTCATATTCAAATGTACGTATGACAATATTTTTGTCCTGCTGTACATGTATATATATAGTTCCAAGTGTTTAAAGTACGCTCTGCAGAGTTGCCCCACTCGATGATAGCTTACGTATCTATTTCTCGTTATTATTATGAGTTGGTGATAATTTTTTACCATGTGCAGACAAGATCCCGGTTATGCGCATTGCCACACACCATAGAAATGCATTGATAACCCGTCTAGGGTATTATTTCTAAGGTCAACGCTCAGCATGGTGCAAAACATCACATTCAGTTTTTGTGTTATCGTGTAAATAAATCGGAAACGTCTTGTAGACGTGGCTTATATCACATCGCAATAAAGCGTAGTTTTCATACCTATAGCCTGATGAATTGTGCCAAAGAATTCTCTTCAATGTTATAATTATTATGTAACAGAATACATATAATCAGGAGTGAATAATAATAGAATTATATTATATATAATCTATTATTATTTACTCCCTGATATAATGCGTTTGATATAATTATTGTACTTGCACATATAGTAATACTTGGCAGACAGTAGTCTTTGTAATCATGCCCCAAGAAATAATTGCTCATTAGCAGGACATTACGGTCTGAACATTAATTTATTCCAAAGAAAATTCCGCGGGATTGAGTGTGTCGAGGACTATAGCGTATATATATATATATATAATATATATATATATATATTATATTGTAGACGCTGTGTTTGGCACTACGACGTGGAATTCTGTAATAGACTGATAGAGATAAGATAAGAAAAAACAAGAGTAGCGTTCACGATAGTGTTTTACTACATCTCTAATACAATAACATGAAGTCTCAGTGCGCTAACGAATAGAAAAGCATTACAGTGCATAGTAACCGTATCACGCAACTTACACCTTTCTCAGACTATGTCTCGACACAAGAAGCCCCGAGGCAGTCGGCGCGCGCTTCCTCTTTATACCGCGCGCCCGGTCCGTAGGTGCGCCGTTTCTTCCCCTACGTCATAGATCTCTTTTAGCTCCCAACTCTGACCAACCGGCCCTCCCGAACACGGCAGAGTGCGGATTCCTACTGCTATCTCCCGCTACCTAATATGGTGGCGGGATGCGTGGTGCGCACTTGGCGTGATTCCATGGTCGATTCGGACCATGGTGTCATCACAGTCATCTATCGGTCAGCACCGTCATCTATAGGTCAGCACGTGTGCGGCTGCCTGTCACACTCCGGGGATTCATGACTGCGATTCCCAGCCTAGCTGGCGCCATCTCGAGTCGGCTCTCTTTGATCTCCGTGTCGACCGCTGACTCGCCCGCTCCTGTGTTATGCATTACCCCAACACCAGTCTCGCATCCGCCATCACCTTCCCTGGCGTGTGGCCTTTGCTCGCTTACAATATAGTGGGAGGATCAAGAGCGGTATATATGCTTTTTAAATTGCGCGTTAGAAACTGGAAATGATGCCTGTCTATGTAACAGGACGTACGACAGACAGACAGAGAGCGAGACACACACACACGCGCGCACACACACACACACACACACACACACACACACACGCACACACACACACACACACCACACACGCACGCACAGAGGAGAGAGAGAGAGAGAGAGAGAGAGAGAGAGAGAGAGAGAGCAGGGCGCCTACAGTACTAAATCGCATGCTGTTCCCTCGGCGGACGGTCGTATAGTGTCCTCGTGAATTTATGCCGCGTTTATGGGGGTTGCCAATCACCTACAGCGAGTATAACTGTCGGTCCCCGTTGTCGCTGCGGTGTACGCGACAGTAGCCATTAAACATTTACGGCAGTACGGCTCATAGGGTCTATGTCCCCCAGGGTACTGCCGGAACGTACCCTGGGTACGGTTCGGTATACCGGAACGTACCCTGGTCACTATTTGATATGGTTAGGATTAGGGAGTAGGCGTAGGCGACTCCCTAGACTCGTTAGTGGAGTAGGGGAAGTACGGTTCGGCATATTAGATAGCACCAGGGTACGTTCCGGTATACCGGACCGTACCCAGGGTACGTTCCGGCAGTACCCCCGGGGGACATAGACCCTCTCAGCGGCAGTACGACACCAGCTATAGCTGCCTCTCGTTCTTCCGTCGTTGCTGCAGCCGCTGGCTGTAAACAACGACAATGCAACTGTAGCGCTTTGACTATATAGATACAAGCGGGAGGGTATAATATAGAGATATATTCGACAATGCAACTGTAGCGCTTTGACTATATAGATACAAGCGGGAGGGTATAATATAGAGATATATTGTCTATGAGAGTTTTCTATGAGAGATTGTCTGAGTATATAGTGTCTATATTATACACTCCTGATATTATACACTCCTATATTTTACACTCAGTAATTGTGTAAGCGACAGAAGCGTACGTGGGGTGTAGGGGAATATAACCCCTAATCTTGTGCTGGGTTCCATTGTTGTGTCAACGATTTTACATATTGTAACCTTGTACTTAGTCGCGGTATGGGAACGGGAGCGGCCGTTGGGTAAGGAGTAACAATTGCGCAAATCGGAAAGCAAACACGAACTAGCGGTATAACGTACCACAGACAGCTGTATTATTAGCCATATAATAACAACAAAGCCATTTAATAGCAACAAAGCACAACGCATAGCGTACAATAAGCATGACAGGGTAGAACAAGGGAGGCCCGAGAGTTCTCCCGCTCCCGGGCGCGGCTCGCATTATATACGCGCGGTCCTTGTATCCTATCGTCACCTACTCGGCTTGGCGGGGGCTCCCCCGCTCCGCCGAACGCCTCGTACGTCGACTGCGGTTTATGGTTAAACATGTGCGTCGGCTGCTGGCCGGCTGTCGCCCGCTCCACTCACGCGGCATCTCGCCTAATTAATAAGCTAGAGCGAAGCAGCGCTACAATATTATAGGTTGCACAACTCTACACTCGTGCTCAAGAAAAGGTTGCCGTGCCTCATCTGCCGTAAAGTGCTTACGAATTCCTAAGCCTACACGATTGCTTGATCTGAGAAGTGAACAATAGCTGCACGTGTGACCAATTGTCCGAGACCGGGCTGCGAAATTTTTTTCCTGAACCTTTCGGGCAGTACAGTGTACATTTGTACATCATCTTCTTCGTTTTTCTTCGTTATTTATTTTTTTCTTATTATTATATGTCTCAATCATTATAGGTCTCAATTATAAATAAAAATCATCAATCAAAAATAAATAACGAAGAACAAACGAAGAAGATGTACAAGTGTACACTGTACCGATAAGACGAGGTTTTGTAGGGAACCGCTACAATCTCTCCATCCCGTTTGCAACAACAGCTATGTGAGCGAGACGCCCTCCAATATCGTCCCCTGTTCCCTCCCATTTATAAGAGGGGCTACTGTAACGTAGTTTTTGACGTTACTATGTTTAAGTTTACAATGCATGGGCGTGTACAGGGGGGGGGTCCAGGGGTCCCGGCTCCCTGCTCGCGCAGAAAACGGCATCTAAGGGGGGTCTAGATTTAAAACAAAATTCTGGGAAGGCTCCCGCCTTCCGCGTGCTCTGCTAGTTTTGGTTTACGGCTAGACCCCCCCCTCCTGTAACAATCCTGTACACGCGCCTGTACAATGTATGTATAACGCCAAAAGGACATAGATATAGAAGAAGTCAAGGAATACATACGCAGACTCGACGTTAATGATAGACTGATATAAACAGTTACAAGGTGTTTGTGCGTTGTGGCCTGGTGCGGGAGGTTCTCCTCCCGGCCTCCTGTTATCATAGTCAGGCAACGCGCGAACCACGCAATGGCGTCTTCCTCACACGGTGACCCGTGGACGTGAAGACACGACTAACGGCGTAGATATGTTGTGCGCTACCACAACCAACAACGCGGCCCACTGGCGTGGGTACACCTACCGGCGCTGTGCGCACTATCGTGACTTTTGGCGGTGAAGTTACAACAGGAGAGTCGCGCGAGAGAGCTATAATGCGAGGTGACAAATGAACACAGCGAACGCAGAGAACCGCATCATGTTTTGTCTAGGGAGTGTCGGTGGCTAAGTTTCGGTTAAGAAGCATGTTGTGTCGGCACGGCTTAGTATGGAGTCGTTCAGAGCGTAATTGGTTAGAACTTAACGGAGTTAGCCGCATCACTAAACACAGTGATTGGCTCCAAATGCATCCGCGAAATATGGGGCGAAACCTCAGACTCCTCCTGTCGCAGTCACGTCTCGCACACGCCGACTGTTTTTCCTGCCATTAGTTCCTCCGCTTAATCCCTCGGCGTGCTCGCGCGAGACCGTCGACAAAGTCATCGCGACGGTGGGAGGGGGGGGGAGATGGCATCTCTCGTGCTTGTAACGCGGTGTTGCGTTACACTACCGGCTGCGACCTCTATACGTAGATGCTGACACCTTTCATGTCCCGCCTGAATAGACTAACGATCGATATATTGCAAGTGGCAGATCCAGTGGGGCTGAACGGGTCATTGTCGCGTATATGTAGTACTCGAGGTGTCGCGCGAGTATGTCGCCATACGCTACTCCACTAACGCAGCCCCTAACGCCTAGTCGTTTATTATTTTTTTCTTATATTATATAGTGTCTCAATCATTATAGGTCTCAATTAAAATAAATCACAATCAACAATAAATAACGAAGAACAAACGAAGAAGATGTTACAATGTAACACTGTAAGATAAGACGAGGTTTTGTAGGGAACTCCTACAATCTCTCCTCCCCGTTTGCACAATAAGCTATGTCGAGGAACCCCCAAGCCGTCCCCGTGTCCTCGCATTTATAAGGGGGGGGGGCACCAATGCGACCGTCTACGTAGATTGCTGGACACCTTCGTGTCTCGTCTGAATATACTAACAAGCAGAATAATATGCACGATATATTGCAAGTGGCGGATCCAGTGAGGCTGAAGGGGTCGTTGTCGTATATGTAGTACCCGAGGTGTCGGCGAGTATGTCGCCTATACGCCTACTCCCTAACCCTACCCTAACCCTAACACCCTACCTAACCCTAACCATATCAGATAGTTACCTCGGGTACATATTATACGCCATTATACGACAACGACCTTTCGTGCTCCAGTGGGTGCGGGTGGATTGGGTGGCTAGCCACCCCCTCTGTTGGACTAACAATATTTTTACACATAGGCCTATACCAATTAATTATTGCCAAGTATAATAGACGCGCGGCTGTACAAAACGGCCTCTTGAACGTTGGGAAAAAAAAAAAAAAAAAAAAAAAAAAACCAAAAAAAAAAAAAAAAAAAAAAAACAAAAACAAAACAATAGGCCGGTCACAAGCTTGGACGGCCAGGTGACGCGACGCGTATCGAAAAACTCAGCTATGCAGGTACTGAGAATAGGTGACGCGACGCGCTGTGGCGTGGAACGGAAAAAGAATCTAGTTTGATTTTCCTGCCAAATCAGTTAATCCGGTTTCGCCTGGGCAGTACACTATAGGCTAGATTCTACACAAACGATCACGATTCTTCGCCAACACGCTGCTGGTCGTTCTAGTCAATATTATTTGGTATTTCTCTCGTGTAAAATCCGTACTTGTTATGAATGTGTAATATTTATGAGTATTATATTGTATGAATTTTACCTTACGTATTTCTCTTCGCGTAAAATCATACTTGTCTATGAGTAATTTACTTAAGTATTATATTGTATGATTTACATTACGGTATTTATCTGTGTAAAATCATACTTGTGCTCGAAGGGTCGTTGTCCGTATCAGGTAGCTACAATATGACCCGAGTACAAAGTTGTACCAGACTTGTACTACAGAAGTCGTACCCTAACGGCTTAACCTGCCTGAATAGACTATAAACGATCTATTGCAGTGGCGGATCCATGGGTGGGGGTAAGTTGGGTGGCTAAGTCTGGTCTTTGGACTAACAATATTTTTAACATATAGGCCAATTAATTATTGCCAAGTAATATAATAGTCGCGCGCGGCTGTGCAAAACGGCGCCTGATGCATGGGTTAAATTATGATTGAGTATCAATAGCAGTTTACAACGTTTTGCGCTTTTTCACAATTCCAAGATATGATTTTGCTGTCGCCCTCATCCCAGCGGTGGTACCCTCCACTGCTTCGGCTCCCCACAGCCCCCCTGCACAGCAACTCATGCCGCTGCAGAGCGCAAGAATTGTTTCTAGCTAAAGAGAGATTCTTGTAGTTCAGAATAAGGCATACACACAACCAACACTTCACACACGGACACATATCCACACACACACACATCTTATTCTTCCCCACCCTCGCGCCCGCACACCCACATACATCACACCACACGCGCGCCCCACGACACACATCACACAACACTTATCGTCACACACACACACACACCACACACAGATGAGAAGAGGGGAGAGAGAAAGATCGAGAGAGAAAGTGAGAGAGAGAGAAAAAGAGAGAGAGAGAAAGAGAGAAATAGGACGTTGGCGCGTATCGTGGTACACTCCTTTCCTGTTCACATGCACTAGCGCTTGGTGTGATCTAGTTTTCCTTCCGTCTGGTCCTTAATTTCAATTCTAGTCTACACATATTATATATATATATATTGTAAGCGGGCAGATTCCATATGCAGCAAACCGAAAGCGATAGCGATAGCGGGAATACGTAATCTGGCGCCGCAGTGTCGGAGGGTTGTCACAACATGCTGGAGTGGACCGTACGCGAGCCAGCCCGAAAGCACGTAAGGGCAAGTAAAGGACTAGCAACTGGTCGAATCTCGGGCTAAGGTATTCCACCGGGTATTGCGGCGATTGCTGACAACACGCACACACTGACCAGAATGACTATGACGATCAGGGCAGGAATCGGGCCATGAGTCTGGCCAAGATGGAGACACATTAATATCCTAACTGGCCAATATTTGGCAGGGTAATGTACGCGGCCGTAAGACCATGCATTTTCCCCGTTCTCAGACAAAAACGTGTTTGGTAGAATCGGGCGGTCTAGAGAAAGAAAACTTATACTACGAAGACGTGACGTAAGAAGAGGAACGTGGTATAATAATGGAAAGCGCACGGCTCCTCGGAGGACTCTTGTTAAGACAACCCAATTGAGAAAGGTGAAAGTGCGTGATAGACGGTTGCTATTAAGTTGAACGGTCTTTCTAGTTCTTGTTAGTACATTGACGACTTCAATGTTTGCTATGATGTAGTAAAACATCGTGAACTTTACTTCTTGTCTTGTCTTTTATCTGTCTTAGTCAATTAGCAGAACCTCTTACAAAGGTGAGTGCTAATCAGCGTCTACAATATAATAATTATATATAATAATTATATATATATATATCAAGAATACATATATGAGATTATTAGAAATCCTTATGCCCTCTGCGTCGCTTCCTCGCCTCCTGTCTCGCAATCAGCCTCAACATCTTACTTTACCAGAGGCCCGCTTCAGCCTATCTTTCCTGCCGCCTTTCCCTACAGTCCTCCCATCCCTCATTTCCCTACCAGAACAAGCTAATTATGAATTTGGCCCTCAGACGCACTGCAACCACTAAACACGGTGCGCGCGATGCGAAATATCTCCCGAAAGGAAATCGTTAATTTGGCTAAGAATTATGCATTTAAAATTCGAGTTATGCCTATGCATAGAAGATATGATAACTTCTATCTCAAAATACTGATCCTATCAATGACATCATTTAAGAAATAGGAAAGAACTTAAGCATGTAAGGTCCCTCGCTGGTATCACAGCCAATACCAGACATCTGCTACGTTACAACTGTGTTACAGCGCAGCGTTTCCAAAAGTCTCACCAGAGGGATTAATTTTGCTGATGAATACCGGCATTTTTGAACAGTGTTAGGGGTATCTAACATACCATGATTTCCCTAGATAACACTTTTAGGCAGTGCCTACGGTACGGTACCCGTCATCTTAATTTCTCTGAAGCTACCGGTACGGGAGCCATTCGCTTTCATACTTACGCACGACAACAGATGGCGGCGGTGCGCTAGATTCGAAATACGCCTGGGAAATAAATTCAACGATTTGAGAGTTTAGAGAGCTAGAACTCCTAACCTTAAACCCTAAACCAACCCTACATAACTAAATAAACCAACCTAATCCTACCTCCCTAACCCTACCCTAATCCTACTCCTAACCCTAACCTAACGCAAAAATGGGGCTTGACGACCGACGGTCACCCGTACCTCCAGCCCACTGCGAACGTACTTTATCCTCAGTTGACATGTGTTTATAATTAGGAGAGGCCCGCCTACGCATGTAGGTACAAAACCCCTACCTTTATGCCCTCGCGACCTTCCCCTTGCCTCCTCTGTCCTCGCTCGCCTGCCTCTTCACCGCACACCCACTATCTTACCCTGCGCCATTTACATCAGATCTTACTAATCACCCAAATCTCTCTCCTCAGCAAGCTATATTATAAGAAGTTGCCTCAGACGCACTGCACCGCCTAACACGGTGCCGCCACAAGAGGCAGAGGCACAATATCATCCCGAGAGAATACGTATTTTGCAAAGATTAATGCATTTTTAAAATGACGAGATGTTATCCTGCATAAGCGATTAATTATGATAACATTTCCATCTGTAGACCATCATTTAAGAAATAAGGAAGACCTTGCATGTAAGGTCCCGCTGCGTAATACCAGAACCCCAGTCCCACAATCGGCTACGTATAGGTGTTGCGCATAAAGCACAATATCTCATCCAGAGGATTATTTTGTGCATAAATAATGCGTATTAACAATGGTTAGGGAGTAGCGATAGATCCCAATGATCTGTTGATCATTGAACATTGTTTAATTAAGCGAGAAGCGCCCTAACACAGTAGCGGAACAAACACCATACTTTATGCCAAAATCAAAAGCGCCTCTAAACCCCTTGCCTCCTGTTCTCGCTCATCCCACATCCCTTCTCTAAAACACCAATCAACCGCACCGAGCTAATTTCCTGCCGCAGTTTACCTCAGTCTCAAAAACATAACCCACCCTCAACCTCATCCAGCAAGCTATATTATGAGTTTGCCCAACTGGCACTGCCCGCACTAATCTAACACGGTGCGCGAGCATACCAAATATCTCCTGAGAGAATCGTATTTTGCAAAGATTATACATTTCAAGATGAAGAGGAGTATCCTAGCATAGAGTATATGAATAACATTCCATCAGTAATCATTAAGAAAATAGGAGGAGAAATTGCATGTAAGGTCCCCGCTGCGTATACCAGCCAGTAGGCCCCTACACAATCGGCTCCTTAATGTGTTAATTAAGGCGCATGTACAGATAGCTATGCCTATATAATAACGATATACTATTCTATATATAATATATTATATATATATTTATATATACACACCACGGAAGCTCCACATCACGACTCTCTGTACTTGACTTTGTCATAATAATGTTTGTCGTTATTAAGCCCCCATATAATCAAGATATAATAATACAGGCATTATTAGTTCTTGATATAATCTCTATATATAGAGAGATCGAGTTCCGCGACTTGCACTAAAAATAGCAATATTACCCACAATCCCGTGCCGCCGGCCATTCTAGTTGACGAACACATATGTTACGTGTAATCACATGCAGGCACGTGGAGCGTTTCAATAAAATATAATGCTAAATAAATACGAAATCTGTTTACTACCAAAGTAATCTCTAGTCTCCAATCTCTGTTTCTCTACTCTTTTTCGCCTATTATTTCCGACAATTTCCTGTAAATGCCGTACAAATGCTCATCTGCAACACACATGCATCTTGAAATGAAAATGAGAAACGCACGCTGCCGCACACTAGCTGACACATAAATAGTGTTAGATAGTTTTTAGAGATTACTAGTTGTTAGAGATAACTGATGAAAAATTAGAGGGAGCAATAGATCCTACATATCATTCAGTTTAATATCTGTAAAATTCTAACTAACAATTATATTATAAAGCAATATCAGTGTCTATAAAGTAAGATTTGCAAAGTAACTATAAAGACCTAGCAAACATTCCCGGTGTAGGCGATAGTGCAAATCAATATTAAAAGATCCCCGCTTCTACTGTGGTTGCAAAAATGGTGTTATGCCCCACTTTAGATTTAATAACCGGTCGTACCCGTTACCGGCACCGGCACCCGGCACCCGGCACCGGTTAGAGGGTGTGGGTAAAACGCGGACCGCCGCGGACCGCGGATCGCGCACTACAATATTGAAGTTACAATCTATAAGATATAAAGATAAAATATTTAATATTTAATATATAATATAAAATAGTTAATATGTAATATATAATATATAAAATATAATATACAATATAGGTCCGCGAGGTTGGTCGGTCCGCGTTTTACCCACAACTACGACAGCAAAGCAACATCAAACAGCGAAGAAGTATAAATCCACGAAAAAAGCTCGATTAAAGTTTATTTTAATGTTTAGCGCATCGTGTATGATTCCGAACGCCTTCTTATAGTAAAGGGTATGTTGTGCATAAATTCTGGCAAGTTTCATGTAGATTCGCAGGAGGAGTAGCATTACAAAGATCGAGACGGTATCTCCATTATACATTCACATTAACGCAGGAATGCGGAGGCTGACCACAGGTGGCACCACCGCAGAGTTAGCGAATTTACTGCACGGTTGAACGCACCAGGCGCATGAATATTACATGTACATGTAAAGTAGTGCAACCCGTATAAATAAGGGCCCGCTGACCAGTGACCACAGCAAGAGACTTCGTCTGCGTTCTGCGACGCGACACCGTTATCGGAGCTACTTATTCTGAACCTGTCGGAGCCTATCGGAGCTGTATGTCCTGAACACGACAGAGCCTAGCTTACGTGGTGAGTTACGGCACCTTGTCCAGAAATGCTGAAACCATGTTGCAGTATTACTATTAGTCGAATTAATAAACGCAGTGGCTGGAGGTACGGTAGCCGTCGGTCGTCTGAAGCCCCTTTTTGTGTTAGGGTTAGCGGTTAGGTTATGGTTAGAGGTACGGTTTAGGGTAGGGTTAGGTTATGGATTCAGCTCATCGTAAAACTCTCAAATCGTAATTCATTTACCCAAAGCGTATTTCGAATCTAGCGCCACCGCGCGTCATCTTTGTCTCGTTAATATGAAAGGAATGGCCCCGTACGCGTATGACTCGAGACATTAAATACGGCTACCGTACACGCTAAGGCCACTGCATTATCAACTCCCCGTTTTATTTTGACGTTCTTTATCGTATTCAGCATTGACCGTTGTCTCTCTCTTTTATACGCTCTTTGATGCTAGGGAATAGCGCAGTGTCCCGCAGATTTTTAAATTATACCGGCCTACACTAGAGGCCCACCGATTTAAGCAATCACGCTATAAACATACACACCATCACTCAAGTGAACATTAAAATAGAACGCCGCAGGTAACACGTAGTTTCCGAGCCCGACGCAGACCCCAGAATAGGGATAAACCTGGCGGGGACCCCAGTGCGGAAACATACCCGGCACCTCAGATTTAGCAACAGGCGGAGTTTACGCTCTGCATTTGCGGACTATTAATCACTATACACAATCGCCGACCTGTAGCTCCGAGTACACTAATGACTCGCAGGGCGATCTTGTGATGGTAGTCGCCCAGTAGGGACTCGGTCTTTTCGCTTTCAGCCGCATAGTCGACTTTTTCGAGGCTCATGATTGCTTCCTTGTTTCGGCCACACCTATCCTTCCCATAAGCCATTCAGCCAATCCTTCCACATCTGCGCACATTCCTACACATCCGACTGTTTATGTGGACTGGACTGAACGAGGAGCAAGGCATGCAACCGCTAGTTTGGAGCTCCTATTCTTTCCGGACATCATACTAGTCCTGTATAGCTCAGTCCATAGTCTGAGTTTGTATGGCGCACGCGATCCGATGACAGAGATTTGATATTCAGAATTCTATGCATATAACCTCGGCACGTTGTTTTAAAAATAAAATGTTGGCTGCCGTCAGACAAGTTAAGCATCCATCATGTGGACGGTTTCCTTGCCGTATAACGTCGCATACAAAAGACCACGCAAACGTACCAGGGGCAAATTCGCATAAACAAAACACTTGTACTTGCTGCATATTAGGTTAAACATATTACTTGCGCCAAGAGATTTTTCATGCACCTACCTCTGTTGCTCTCCAACTGGGAGTACCCTTCCCTTCCTCCCCGTTTTAGTTTATTATTATCTATGTCTTCTGTGTCTACCTGCTCTGATTCAGAGTCATTTATGTTCAATTCGTACAGAAATCAAAATAAAATGGGTTCTGACTTCTAAATACGTAAGTAGGCTGGCATATTGTTGACTGGCGGCAGCCGCAAGTTGCTACGAAACATCGCTGGCGTCAGTGCAAATCCTTGTGTTGCGCAATTACTGATATAGCGAATTTCGACCCCTGCGTACACAAGCAGAAGCCACGACAGAGTCGGACAGACCTACCTAGTCGGCAACACCAGTACGTCCCTCGGTCCCTTCTTAGGGATTAACTGGGGTTATTAAACTTCAAAGGTTTATATAAGCTTCATAGCTTCCCACCCCTAGCCACTTGTCTGAGGGGACAAGTGCATCCAGGTAAATATCCGGAAAACAACTAAATACCCTGCGCATTACCACGCGCAGTGGAAATGTCTGAGTGATCACCCCTAGGGTCACTATAATAGTATAACCTGAGTGTAATATTGGTCGCTACAGATTTGACTCGTTAGTCGGACGTCATTAACGCATGAATGAGGGCAAGTTAATTTGTTTCTACTCTCTGTGTGGCACGCACTGTTAGCAGCAGCAGTCAACAGGAAAGTCGTACTTCTCACAGAAGATAAATGACAGCGGACACGAGAGAATTAACGAACCGATGCGAATGTAGGGTTGTGTTTAACCGAGGCTGGTGTTAACCGTGAATTCACTGTATGCGCGCGTGTACGTCAGCAATAGGCTGTGCGTCGGATCCGATAATCGAATCCGATCGCATTCGGATTCGGATCGGATTTACAATTTTTAAAGAATCGGATTCGGATTCGGATCGGATTCAAAATTGTCGTTGGATTCGGATTCGGAGTCGGATTTTCAACAATGCTGTCGGATTCGGATTCGGAGTCGGATTTTCAAAAAATGCTGTCGGATTCGCATTCGGAGTCGGATTTTCAAAATGCTGTCGATCGGATTCGGATCGCCGGGATGGACCGTAGAATCCGACCTCCATCGCTGTCAGGAGCAGAGCCTGAGCCGGCTACTTCATAAAACGACGTTCAAGGCCACGGCGTGATTTGGCGGCTTTTGATGTATACGATCGATTGATCGCGTACTATATCCGGCCAGCGTAGCAAGCGCTTCACACATCACATACACACACTGTCTCACACACATATCTCTCTCTCTCTTCTCTCTCTCTCACACACACACACACACACACACACACACACACACGCAGCGGCCGCGCAACAACACACGACAAATAACATCACGCACAGGCACACGCACACACACACTGCTAAGCACACACACGATGTGAAATCGATGCGTTTGCATGCGCACACGCGCCGTGGCGGCGGGCTTTACTGTCAAGATGATTATTTGAAGGAGTCGGGACAGTCACAATTCATAACATTTTCACATCATCCGTTTTCGTAACTTTTCTGTACGCTACAGTCCCCCTTCACCCCTTGATCCTCCCCAACCAAAGTTTCATGTTGAAACAACTTATAACACGATTTTATACGATGCTGTCACACTATTGCAATTTCTATGTTCGGATTCGGGTCGGATTTCGGATCGGATTTCGGATCGTATTAGCGATACACATCGGATTCGGATTCGGATTCGAGTCAAAATTGCCATCGGATTCGATGTCGGATCGGATTCAAAATAGCCATCGGATTCGGATTCGGATTCGGATTTTTTTAAATGCTGTCGATCGGATTTTTGGTTCATGTCGGATCCGACGCCACAGCTCTCTCTAGTCAGCATAAATGATGAGTCTAATCATCAAGGGCTAATATATCTTATTAGCTTAATAGTATTATTAGCCTTGATATCATGCATAATATCGCTCATAGGGTCTATGTCCCCCGGTACGGCTGGAACGTACCCTGGTACGGTCCGGTATACCGGAACGTACCCTGGTAACTTATTGATTATGGTAACTTAGGGAGTAGGCGTAGGCGACTCCTTAGACTCGTTAGTGGAGTAGGTGAGGTACGGTCCGGCATATTATTAGATAGTACCAGGGTACGTTCCGGCAGTACCCTGGGGGACAGACCCTCTCAGCCACAATATCAGGAGTGAATAAAAAAATGTTTGTTTTTATTCACTCCTGATAAAATATATATATACACAAATATCAGTATAATAATATACGCGAGAGACTTCTCTTATCTTTCTGTGTGTTGTGCATAGTGGCGTGCATGCGGTGAAATTGCGTGTTTGCGGATGAGCGTCTGACGAATTAATTATACGTAGGAATACTAGTCCTTAGATAGAGAGTACATGAACATTGAAACTCTGGTAGCAAATACATTTCGTGTTTGTTTACCATCATTTTATCATCGAAATGTTTCAAGTGTGTCTGTGACGGAACCTCTTCACCATCACAGGGGTAGAAATAAGGAGAAAAAAGAGATGGTCCATAGGACCATCTAGTTTGAAATTTAGATGGTCCTCCTAAATTTTAGATGGTGCCTAACATTTCAAATTGTTCTCTAAATGTAATGCAGCGTGGCAAGCGTAAGAAAGAGATTTTACATGGTGATAAAATGGAAATTATTCAGCCTACAATGAATGTATCAAACATACAGTAATTGTTTATTCACTTTAAAATAGTATATTGGTTAATAAAGTTGTTTCAGTAGAATATAGTTGAACCAATAACGGTCCGGTCTGTCGGACCATTGACTTTAAAAATCTGATGGTCTTCGGACCTCCTGATTATTTGATGGCCCCGGACCATTGCTTATTTCGACCCCTGCATTAGGAGCTTCGCGGCTGAGTAGGGCTGAGTGGGTCTATGTCCCCCAGGGTACTGCGGAACGTACCCTGTACGGTCCGGGTATCGGAAACGTACCCTGGTACTATCTAATATGTCCGGACCGTACTCCCTGCTACTCCACTACGAGTCTAGGGAGCGCCTACGCCTACCCCTAACCCTAATCCTAACCCACCTAACCATATCAATAATAGTTTACCAGGGTACGTTCGCGGTATACGCGGACCGTACGCCAGGGTACGTTCCGGCGGTACCCTGGGGGACATAGACCCTATGAGCCTGAGTAGGCCTATATAATGATCAAGCCACACTGTAGGCGAGAAATACTGTACTCACTGTAGGCCTCGACATACTTGGGTGATTGATGGTCATGAGATTTTATGGCCAGCACTAGCCACGAGGGAAAACTATGTTTAGCGCGCGACCACTCGCATTCAGTCGGTCGCAGGCCAAATATAACGCGATAGGGCGATCTAATGTAATGATATATAGTGTGTTGCATCATGGACATAAACTGCTAAATAAACTAGGCATCTTGTTAACCTCAGACAAATTTAACTTCCTGTAGAATATATTTTATTTATTAATTCAAATACTGTACATTGGTAACAGATATGTCAATATGGGCTTGAGAGCTCCTCACCATCAGTGCAGTAGCACTGCTAGCCCGACGAGGCTGTGCGACTGATTGACTATTGTCTGAGGTCTTCTAACTCTAGCAAGACCGTTTCTTGGAGCTACATCAGTGCGTGCTTTTTAATGTAAAAGTAAAATAATGGGGTAAAAATACATTACATTAGTGTTTTTACGCAATAATTTCATACCAATGCACAAGTTAAAGAGAGTTTTCCGCCATCCTGCCAGTGGATGTGGTTTCCTGGGATTTGATACACACTGTTGGGCCAAAATAACATAAACACAAAATCTCATTCTAAATCTAATGCAAATGTGTGAAGTTATTGCTTAAAAAAGTTCTTACACCACTATTTTACTCTAGGCAGTGTATTGAAGGTCCATTCCTGTACCCAATTTTTGTTGCACTAGTGTTCTGGTGCTGGGTTGAGACAGAGGAAGTAAGAAAGTTGTTTGTACACACTACACACACGTACGTGTTGTTATGCAAAAAAATAACTGAAAATTGTTGGTAATTTACCAGTCTACAGATCACTAGGCCTAAGCACCCAGTTTATGATTGGGGTTAGGTTACAACTAGAACTAAACTTAAATTGCAGATCAGCACTCTTTTGTAAGACACCATTGAAGGAAAAATAGGATTAGAGATTGCCATGTGTGTCACATGCAGAATTAAAATGGAAAAAATAAACTTCGATTATCATTACCTCGAACCATTCGTGTCACCAAACAAAAATTTCAGTGATTACTGTTATTGTCTGTTCAAAGTCTAGCACAGCTACAATGCTTACACCTATATGCAAACACTAACATTTTACTTACTACTAGAAAAGTAATGATGCGGTTTGATAATATATTTATTCGGTTTAGTGATTCAACGTTTATACGTCTGCACCTTCTTTTCCAGGTCCTGGTTAAGAACGTTTTGCGTTGTCGTCTTCAGCTCGCGACTTAGTTTGTAGATAATGAATCCTCAGGAAGGTGCCCCGGGTCGTGCTCGTGGGCGAGCAAGAGGCCGTGCCAGAGGGAGCACCACCGAGCCAGCTCGCAGACCAGGGGAGCAAGCCGTAAGTCCACGTAGTTCTATTTGTATATAATATATATGTACATCCATCATTGTTATCACGTGCTGTGCAAAACACGTTGGGGTTGGGGGATAGAGCGACAACTGCTGTGTGCTTTTAGAAATATTGGCTAATAAATTGTAACAGTTTAAACCCGCTTGTGTTTTATCATGTATGTTCCATAAGGTCCCAGTGCTAATATTTTGGAAAATTTGGTTTTATATATAGGGTGAGCCTAGTGGACCGCCAGCAGCAGCTGCAGCGGCGGCGGCATCACACGCGGATGTGCCAACCGTGAGTGGGCGAGCCAGCCACCGTGGCGGGCCACGTGTGGACACCAGACCTGGAGGTGAGGGCAGCGGTTATAGTGTATCCACTCGTCCAAGCGTTTGTGCCAGGAAGTGATTTCATTTCCATTTTTACCTCCGCCCAATGGAGTTGGAGGAGGTTATGTGATCGGTCTTGTGTGTTCGTGTGTTCGCGCGATCGATATTAGCGCGTCGAGTCAAGCCAGCCAGCCACAGCCAGCTCCAGCAGCAATCAGCAGCAGCCAGCAGCGAGCGAGCATACATGTTACATGTACACACAATTGTCGCACATAGTTATCGATTGAGTTAGATTCCTTACCTAATATGCACTGTAAAGTTCTACTTTTTAAGTGTTTCAACTTTGGCTGTGGACTGGACAATAAAATTTATATTCCAACATTAAACTGCACATCAGAGACACACACACATCAGAGAGCTGCACATCACATTCAGGAGAGGGAGCGTAGCTGCATAGCAACGTCAAAATATTATATGCTAGACGGTGCGTTTCTATTATATGTAGAGACAGGGCACCGTTGCAACTCAACACTGAACAGTTGCAAGAGCTGTGTGAAATATGAGTGGGCTATGCGGTACACTGGTTGTGATTGTGTTATAGCTGGCGCACCGGAGCGTGAGATGGCAGGAATGAGTATAGGGGGAGCTTCAAACTACCCGATGTACCAGGAAGTGGATCTACGTCCGTCTACCATGCTTAATAAACAAGGTGTGTTATTGAATCAGAGGGCCATTGTCAGAAAGTTAGTCATTGCATTAGCCTTAAGATTTAACTTTTTCAAACATACCATTGACAGAAGCATTGCAAAGCTGTGAAAATGGAGGGAAAGCAGGGCCTAATCCAAGCCATTTTTCATACCGAATACCGGTGCCCAAATTACGACCCCTAGCAAAACGCCCAAATTAGCAGAGCTCTGAAAATTGTGGAAATTAAATCTCCATGTTTCAATCGTTATGTAGGCACTGTTTTATAATAAAATGTTCATATAAGATGTATAATCTATTCAGTGTTTCCTCTGCATTGACAGGAGCGAGGCGGGCCGCCTCGCTCAAATTCGGAGCCGCCACACAGAAATTTGTCCAAAACACTGCCTCGCTGATGAAACTTTTGACAATTTGAAAAAGACATTCAAGAGTCTCATACAATGTGTTCAGAATTGCTTAGAATACAGCAAATTGCACCATGTAAAAAAAAAAACGGGGGTTATACCCCCGGACCGTCCTAGCTGGGCGAGAATCCGACGCTGCTCGCTTTGCTAGGACATCGAAACGCACAAACACACCACACATAAAAATTGACCACGTCTCAGACCATTTTAGCCAGGGGAAACACTGCTATTATCAGAATAAAATTAATGTTATGTTATTTAATGTTATACATCTACGGGTTACGGGGTACCTATACCTAAAAAATATTTTCGGCTTGCTGCGCTTGCCAACGGTCCCAAAATTTTTTTAGGCTTGATATGCTCGCCACGGGTGCCCATATTTTAAGCAGCTAGATTAGCCCCTGGAAAGGTGAATTTTCTCGGAACGATACGGTATTCCAGACCCTCTTGTGACTATCAGACTAGGGTCCCTATATACAGAGAGTTGCGCCATGTGTGCGGATAAACTCGCACCCTCAGATTAGCAAAGCGGAGTTTATGTCTGCATTTGCGGACTATTAATCACTATACACAACGCCCCTTAGCATCCGAGTACACTAATGACTCGAGGGCCGATCTGTGATGGTTAGTCCCCAGGTAGGGACTCGGGTCTTTTCCTTTCAGCCGCATAGTCGAGCTTTTCCGAGCTCATGATCTTCCCTTGTTTTGCCACACCTATTCCTTCCATAAGCCATTCAGCCAATCCTTCCACATTCTGCGCACATTCCTACACATTCCGCTGTTTAGTAGGACTGAACGGGAGACAAGGCATGCACCGCTAGTTGGAGCTACCTATCTTTCCGGACATATACTAGTCTGTATAGTCAGTCCATAGTCTGAGTTTTAGGCACGCATCCGAATGACATGAGATTTTATATTCAGAATTCTATGCATATGTACCTCGGCACGTTGTTTTTAAAATAAATGTTTGGCTGCCGTCAGACAAGTTAAGCATCCATCATGTGGATTGTTTCCTTGCCGTATAACGTCGCATACAAAAGACCACGCAAACGTACCAGGGGTCGAAATTCGCATAAAAAAACACTTGCACGTGCTGCATATTAGGTTAAACATATTACTTGCGCCAAGAGATTTTTACATGCACCTACCTCTGTTGCTCTCCAAACTGGGAGTACCCCTTCCCTTCCTCCCCGTTTTAGTTTATGATTTATTCTATGTCTTCTGTGTCTACCTGCTCTGATTCAGAGTCATTTATGCTTCAATTTCGTACAGAAATCAAAATAAAATGGGTCTGACTTCTAAATACGTAAGTAGCTGGCATATTGTTGACTTGCGGCAGCCGCAAGTTGCTACGAAACATCGCTTGCGTTCAGTGCAAATCACTTGTGTTGCGCAATTACTATATAGCGAATTTCGACCCCTGCGTACACACCAGAGCCACGACAGAGTCGGACAGACTCTCAGTAGTCGCAACACCAGTACGTCCCTCGGTCCCTTCCTAGGGATTAACTGGGGTTATTAATAACTTCAAAGGTTTTATATAAGCTTCATAGCTTCCCAACCCCTAGCCACTTGTCTTGAGGGGACAAGTGGCATCCAGGTAAATATCCGGGAAACAACTAAATACCCTGCGCATCCACGCGCAGGGAAATGTCTGAGTGATCACCCCTAGGGTCACTATAATAGTATAACCTGAGTGTAATATTGGTCGCTACAGTATTGATCTAGTTAGTCGGACGTCATTAACGCATGAATGAGGGCAAGTTAATTTGTTTCTACTCTGTGTGGCACGCACTGTTAGCATGCAGCAGTCAACAGGAAAGTCTGTATGTCTCACAGAAGATAAATGACAGCGGACACGAGAGAATTAACGAACCGATGCGAATGAGGGTTGTGTTAACCGAGGCTTGTGTTAACCGTGAATTCACTGTATGCGCGTGTAGCGTCAGCAATAGAGCTGTGCGTCGGATCCGATAATCCGAATCCGATCCGATCCGAATCGGATTTAGCAATTTTTTAAAGAATCGGATTTGCGATTCGGATTCGGATTCAAAATTGTCGTTGGATTCGGATTCGGAGTCGGATTTCAAAAATGCTGTCGGATTCGGATTCGGAGTCGGATTTTCAAAATGCTGTCGGATTCGGATTCGGAGTCGGATTTTCAAATGCTGTCGGATTCGGTATTCGGATCGCCCGGGATCGAGGACCGTAGAATCCGACCTCCATCCTGTCAGGAGCAGAGGCCTGAGCCGGCTACTTCATAAAACGAGCTTCAAGGCCAGCGCGTGATTTGGCGGCTTTTGATGTATACGATCGATTGATCGCGTACTATATCGCGGCCAGCGTAGCAGCGCTTCACACATCACATACGACACACTGTCTCACACACATATCTCTCTCTCTCTTTCTCTCTCTCTCACCACCACACACACACACACAACACACACACACACGCACGCGCGCGGCGCAACACACACACGCAAATACACCACGCACAGGCACACACACCCACACACACTGTCAACACACACGATGTGAAATCGATGCGTTTGCATGCGCACACGCGCGCGGGCGGCGCGGCTTTACTGTCAAGATGATTATTTGAAGGAGTCGGGACAGTCACAAATTCATCACATTTTCACATCATCCCGTTCTTAACTTTTTACGTCTACAGCTCCCCTTCACCCTTTGATCTCAACAACCAAAGTTTCATGTTGAAACAAATTATAACACGAATTTTATACGATGCTGTCACACTATTTGCAATTTCTATGTTCCGGATTCGGGTCGGATTTCGGATCGGATTTCGGATCGGATTTAGCGATACACATCGGATTCGGATTCGGATTCGGATTCAAAATTGCCATCGATTCGGATTCGGATGCGATTCAAAATAGCATCGGATTCGGATTCGGATTCGGATTTTTTTAAATGCTGTCGGATCGGATTTTTGGTTCATGTCGGATCCGACGCACAGCTCTAGTCAGCAATAATGATGAGTCTATATCATCAAGGGCTAATAATATCTTATTAGCTTAATAGGTATTATTAGCTCTTGATATCATGCATAATATCGCTCATAGGGTCTATGTCCCCCAGGGTACTGCTGGAACGTACCCTGGGTACGGTCCGGTATACCGGAACGTACCCTGGTAACTATTTGATATGGTAACTTAGGGAGTAGGCGTAGGCGACTCCTTAGACTCGTTAGTGGAGTAGGTGAGGTACGGTCCGGCATATTTATTAAGATAGTACCGAGGTACGTTCGGCAGCTACCCTGGGGGACAGACCTCTCAGCCACATATCATGAGTGATTAAAAAGAAATGTTTTGTTTTTATTCGTTCCTGATATTATATATATACACAAATATCAGTATAATAATATACGCGAGAGACTTCTCTATCTTTCTGTGTGTTTGTGCATAGTGGCGTGCATGCGGTGAAATTGCGTGTTGCGGATGAGCGTCTGAACTGAATTAATTTACGTAGGAATACTAGTCCTTAGATAGAGAGTACATGAACATTGAAACTCTGGTAGCAAATACATTTCGTGTTTGTTTACCATCATTTTATCATCGAAATGTTTCAGTGTGTCTGTGACGGACACATCTTCACCATCACAGGGGTAGAAATAAGGAGAAAAAGAGATGGTCCATAGGACCATCTAGTTTGAAATTTAGATGGTCCTCCTAAATTTTAGATGGTCCTAAATTTCAAATTGTTCTCTAAATGTAATGCAGCGTGCAAGCGTAAGAAAGAGATTTTACATGGTTAAAATGGAAATTATTCACCTACAGAATGTATCAAACATACAGTAATTGTTTATTCACTTTAATAGTATATTGGTTAATAAAGTTGTTTCAGTAGAATATAGTTGAACAATAACGGTCCGGTCTGTCGGACCATTGACTTTAAAAATCTGAATGGTCTTCGGACTCCCTGATTATTTGATGGCCCCGGACCATTGCTTATTTCGACCCCTGCATTAGGAGCTTCGCGCTGAGTAGGGCTGAGTGGGTCTATGTCCCCCAGGGTACTGCCGGAACGTACCCTGGGTACGGTCCGGTATACCGGAACGTACCCTGGTACTATCTAATATGCCGGACCGTACCTCGCCTACTCCACTAACAAGTCTAGGGAGCCGCCTACGCCTACTCCCTAACCCTAATCCTAACCCACCCTAACCATATCAAATAGTTACCAGGGTACGTTCCGGTATACGCGACCCGTACCAGGGTACGTTCGCGGCGGTACCCGGCTGGGGACATAGACCCTATGAGCCTGAGTAGGCTATATATTGCAAGCCACACTGTAGGCGAGAAATACTGTACTCACTGTAGCCTCGACATACTTGGGTGATTGATGGTCATGAGATTTTGGCCAGCAGCTGCACGAGGGAAAACTATGTTTAGCGCGCGACCACTCGCATTCAGTCGTCGCAGGCCAAATATAACGCGATAGGGCGATCTAATGTAATGATATATAGTGTGTTGCATCATGGACATAAACTGCTAAATAAACTAGGCATCATGTTAACCTCAGACAAATTTAACTTCCTGTAGAATATATTTTATTTAATTAATTCAAATACTGTACATTGGTAACAGATTATGTCAATATGGGCTTGAGAGCTCCTCACCATCAGTGCTAGCCTGACGAGGCTGTGCGACTGATTGACTATTGTCTGAGGACTTCTAACCCTAGCAAGACCGTTTCATGGAGCTACGTCAGTGCGTGCTTTTTAATGTAAAGTAAATAATGGGGTAAAAATACATTACATTAGTGTTTTTACGCATAATTTCATACCAATGCACAAGTTAAAGAGAGTTTTCCGCCATCCTGCCAGTGGATGTGGTTTCCTGGATTTGATAAACACTGTTGGCGCAAAATAACATAAACACAAAATCTCATTCTAAATCTAATGCAAATGTGTGAAGTTATTGCTTAAAAAAGTTCTTACACCACTATTTACTCTAGGCAGTGTATCGAAGGTCCATTCTGTACCCAATTTTTGTTGGCACTAGAGTTCTGGTGCTGGTTGAGACAGAGGAAGTAAGAAAGTTGTTTGTACACACTACACACACGTGTTGTTATGCAAAAAAATAACTGAAAATTGTTGGTAATTTACCAGTCTACAGATCACTAGGCCTAAGCACCCCAGTTTATGATTGGGTTAGGTTACAAAGAACTAACTTAAATTGGCAGATCAGCACTCTTTTGTAAGACACCATTGGGGAAAAAATAGGATTAGAGATTGCCATGTGTGTCACATGCAGAATTAAAATAGAAAAAATAGACTTCGATTATCATTACCTCGAACTATTCGTGTCACCAAACAAAAATTTCAGTGATTACTGTTATTGTCTGTTCAAAGTCTAGCACAGCTACACATGCTTACACTTATATGCAAACACGTAACATTTTACTTACTACTAGAAAAGTAATGATGCTGTTTGATAAATATATTTATTCGGTTTAGTAATTCAACGTTTATAAGTCTGCACCTTCTTTTCCAGGTCCAGGTTAAGAACGTTTTGCGTTGTCGTCTTCAGCTGCGCGACTTAGTTTGTAGATAATGAATCCTCAGGAAGGTGCTCGGGCGTCGTGCTCGTGGGCGAGCAAGAGGCCGTGCGCAGAGGGAGGCACCACCGAGCCAGCTCGCAGACCAGGGGAGCAAGCCGTAAGTCCACGTAGTTCTATTTGTATATAATAATATGTACATCCATCATTGTTTCACGTGCTGTGCAAAACACGTTGGGGTTGGGGATAGAGCGACAACTGCTGTGTGCTTTTAGAAATATTGGCTATAATTGTAACAGTTTAAACCCCCGCTGTGTTTTATCATGTATGTTCCATAAGGTCCCAGTGCTAATATTTTGGAAATTTGGTTTTATATATAGGGTGAGCCTAGTGGACCGCCAGCAGCAGCTGCAGCGGCGCCGGCATCACACGTGGATGTGCCAACCGTGAGTGGGCGAGCCAGCCACCGTGGCGGGCCACATGTGGACACCAGACCTGGAGGTGAGGGCAGCGGTTTAGTGTATCCACTCGTTCAAGCGTTTGTGCCAGGAAGTGATTTCTTTCCATTTTTACCTCCGCCAATGGAGTTGGAGGAGGTTATGTGATCGGTCTCGTGCGTTCGTGTGTTCGCGCGATCGATATTAGCGCGTCGAGTCAAGCCAGCCAGCCACAGCCAGCTCCAGCAGAGTCAGCAGAGCCAGCAGCGAGCAGCGAGCGAGCATACATGTTACATGTACACACAATTGTCGCACATAGTTATCGTTGAGTTAGATTCCTTACCTAATATGCACTGTAAAGTTCTACTTTAATGTGTTTCAACTCTGGCTGTGGACTGGAAATAAAATTTTAAATTCCAACATTAAACTGCACATCAGAGACACCACACATCAGAGAACTGCACATCAACATTCAGGAGGGAGCGTAGCTGCATAGCAACGCCAAAATATTACATGCTAGACGGTGCGTTCTATTATATGTAGAGACAGGGCACCGTTGCAACTCAACACTGAACAGTTGCAAGAACTGTGTGAAATATGAGTGGGCTATGCGGTACACTGTTGTGATTGTGTTATAGCTGGCCCACCAGAGAGCGTGCGATGGCAGGAATGAGTATAGGGGGAGCTTCAAACTACCGATGTACCAGGAAGTGATCTACGTCCGTCTACCATGCCTAATAAACAAGGTGTGTTATTGAATCGGAGGCCATTGTCAGAAAGTTAGTCATTGCATTAGCCTTAAGATTTAATTTTTCAAACATACACATTGACAGAAGCATTGCAAAGCTGGTGAAAATGGGGGAAAGCAGGGCGCCTAATCCAAGCCATTTTTCATACGAATACCGGTGCCCAAATTACGCCCCCTAGCAAACGCCCAAATTAGCAGAGCTCTGAAAATTGTGAAAATTAAATCTCCATGTTTCAATCGTTATGTAGGCACTGTTTTATAATAAAATGTTCATATAAGATGTATAATCTATTCAGTGTTTCCTCTGCATTGACAGGAGCGAGGCGGGCCGCCTCGCTCAAATTCTGAGCCGCCACACGAAATTTGTCCAAAACACTGCCTCGCTGATGAAACTTTTGACAATTTGAAAAAGAGATTCAAGAGTCTCATACAATGTGTTCAGAATTGCTTAGAATACAGCAAATTGCACCATGTAAAAAAAAACGGGCTTATGCCCCGGACCATCCTAGCTGGGCGAGAATCCGACGCTGCTCGCTTTGCTAGGACATCGAAACGCGCAAACACCACCACACATAAAAATTTACCACGTCACAGACCATTTTGGCCAGGGGAAACACTGCTATTATCAGAATAAAATTTTAATGTTATATACATCTACGGGCCCCTAATACCTAAAAATATTTTCGGCTTGCTGCGCTTGCCAACGTCCCAAAATTTTTTTAGGGCTCGATACGCTCTCGACGGGTGCCCATATTTTAAGCAGCTAGATTAGCCCCTGGAAAGGTGAATTTTCTCGGAACGATACGGTATTCCAGACCCTCTTGTGACTATCAGACTAGGGTCCCTATATACAGAGAGTTGCGCCATGTGCGTTGTTTCCAAATAGATACGCACGGCTATGGCCGTAAGAAAGTGTACAATTAAATTATCATATGGCGCGAAAAATTTTAGTTACATTTCTAGAAATCTAGATACACATAGACACATGTCTTAGCTATAATCTCTGTAAATTTTGAGTTTATTGCAAGTCACGGATGAAGTCTAATTAATTACTACGGAATATTGTACAGCGTATCCATACAGCGCTGTACTTAAGCGGCAGCGGTGTGAATCCATTTGGAAACAACATGGCGTCAAATCCTGAGTTGGCGCAACTCTCTGTATACAGGGACCCTATATCAGACTACGATGAATATAATGCATTTTTTGCATCAACATTTTGTACTAAGCTTTGCAATGTAACTTGATAATTGTAACCATTGGTCCTTGGTTGTTCCACATCTTACACATTACATTTTTTGTGTACAAATTTTTTTCAGGTACCAGTGGCACACCATGCAGCCTGGTCTCCAATGTTTTCCCTATAACGTGTGCCAAAGACTGGGTCTTGTATCAGTACCATGTGGATTTTAATCCCGATATTGAGAATAAACAGACGAGGTTAGGTATGGTGTACCGGCATTCCAGACCAAACGGAGCACTCGGCGATCCAATTCTGTTTGATGGAATGTGTCTTTACATGACTAGGAAGATGGAGGTAAAATATCTTAACTAATTTATCTATGGGTTACACATATTTTTTGTGCACACTGTCAGGGTTGTGCAATGTTTCAGCAGCTTACTGCAGTGCCTGTGGCAGCTAGTTCATTTCTGTGAACCCAGTGGCATTCATAAGTTCATAAGTAGGAATGTAACGATGCATCAAACTATTGTTTAATTGCAATAGTGTTTGGCTTGATAGAAATGCATTGATGGCAAAGTAAAACGTCACCGTACCTCTTTTGCAGACATTCGACCTGTTCTCGCAAAGGGATTCGGATGGCGCAAACATCCGCATAACCATAAAGCCAGTTGCGGAACTCCGCAGGAGTACAGGAGTGTTGGAGGTGGATGGCCAGCTCATGACCGTGTTCAATAACCTCTTCAAGTGAGTCCATGCTTAGCCTATATAGTATAATAATGCGGATAGTCGTAAGTTTGCTGGAGGTAGCGCGACACCTGCCAAACAAGATGGCATAGCTGTTGGTACGAAAGTTTGTAAGTGCCAATAGCGACGGTTCGTTTGCGAGCTACGCTGGTACATATTTTGGAAGCTTGGAATTATTTTAACGGTCGCATAATCGGTGCTCTCACTGGTTTATTGCTGGATATATTGCATTTTTTTCTTTATATATATTTTTTTTTTCTTCGTGTATTTATGCTGTCATAGCATTACATATACATTGGTTATTACTATGCAGGAAGGTGCTGGGAATTCTTAAACTGACAAAGGTTGGTCAGCATTACTTCAACCCGGACCTCAAAATTGAAAAGGCAAATCACAGGTTGGAAATCTGGCCAGGGTTCCAAACAGCAATTAGATCGTTTGATGGTGGCATTATGCTGCAGTGTGACATAGCTCACAAGATCATGAGAATAGACTCGGGTGAGTTTGCCGTTGTTCTTTGTAGTCATTGCCCCCTGCTGCATACATTCAGTCTCCTGCAATTTTGTTTTAAGTGTTTTCGATTTTTATTGTTAAGTCATTATTGTATAGCAATGTTGCTGTCACGTTTTCCTAGCTTTTCCTAAATGGATTTTAACAAAACATAAAATTAATAAGAAGATCACTTGATAGCCAAAATAGAAAACAACTTAAATTCAATCAAATGATGGAAAGCCTTGTGCCTTGAATCACATCTTATCATCTTGTCATTGGTTTTAATATGTAGGACTGCCATGCATGTCATTGTGGATTTTTTTTAAATATCTACATCAAATCTGTTTAACTTTGTCATCAGGTATTTATTATATGTTCCAGTCCTTGACATCATGTATGAGCTGAACCAGCGGGGGGGCAACATTCAAGAGGCATGTGCCCGCATGATCATCGGCGGCATTGTTCTCACTAGGTAAGACCAATATGTACTTAGCCGGATCAATAGACTTATATTATCCTAGACATTAATAGTGGCAATACACAAATGGCACAAATTGAAAGTTATGCCATGGTGATCGTGAAAATAGAAAGATATCCACAGCAATAAATTAAACAGCTGACACTACCTGTAGGCTTTTCTCCTACCAAAAAGTTTGTGTTCAATAATAAGTGGTCATGAAGTTAGAAACATTTGTTCTTAAAATATTAGTCTGTACTTAGAAGTGTATGACAACTTGTGTATGTGTTGACATAACTAAATAATCACGATTTAATCAAGTATGATGGTAAAGTTGAGGGAATCATGACTATGTTTTCATCTTAAATTGTCCTAGGTACAACAACAAAACTTACACCATAGATGATATCGAGTGGAACGAAAATCCCAGCAGTACTTTTCCTAAGAAAGATGGTACAGCCGTAACCTACAACGAATACTATAAAACGGCAAGTATTTTTCTTATTTGTTTCATTGTTTTGAGCCAGGAGTAAGTTATCACAGCTGACTTAAATCTTCCAACGAAGTTTAGGATAATATACTTGCCTTTGTATGTCTGTTTTATAATTCTGAGAACATTGAGGCACGTTTGTGATGGTCATTTGGTTCTGTTTTGAATGTTTCACAGACTCATGACTGTACAATACATGATGCAAAACAACCCTTGTTGATCTCAAATGCCACTAAAAAAGATAGAAGAGCGGGAAGGACCGAGCCCTACAAACTGATACCGGAGCTTTGCATTATGACAGGTATATGTAATTTTTGTGAATTTAATAATCATATGAGAGTGAGATCGAAATCAGTGGTACAAAGGTGTATGTTTTAATGATGATAACAGAAGAACTAGTGTTCATTGTG